GTATACCTGCACCGCCTATGTATACTGTTATGTATACCTGTACTGTACTGTATATGTATACTCTTATGTATACCTGCACCGTCTATGTATACTGTTATGTATACCTGCACCGCCTATGTATATTGTTTGTATACCTGCACCGCCTATGTATACTGTTATGTATACCTGCACCGCCTATGTATACTGTTATGTATACCTGCACCGCCTATGTATATTGTTTGTATACCTGCACCGCCTATGTATATTGTTTGTATACCTGCACCGCCTATGTATATTGTTTGTATACCTGCACCGTCTATGTATACTGTTATGTATATACACCGCCTATGTATATTGTTTGTATACCTGCACCGCCTATGTATATGTATACCTGCATATGTATACTGTTATGTATACCTGCACCGCCTATGTATATTGTTTGTATACCTACCGCCTATGTATATTGTTTGTATACCTGCACCGCCTATGTATACTGTTATGTATACCACCGCCTATGTATACTGTTATGTATACCTGCACCGCCTATGTATATTGTTTGTATACCACCGCCTATGTATATTGTTTGTATACCTGCACCGCCTATGTATATTGTTTGTATACCGCCTATGTATACTGTTATGTATACCTGCACCGCCTATGTATACTGTATGTGTATACCTGTTATGTATACCTGCACCGCCTATGTATATTGTTTGTATACCTGCACCGCCTATGTTTGTATACCTTGTTTGTATACCTGCACCGTCTATGTGTATTGTTTGTATACCTGCACTGTCTATGTATATTGTTTGTATACCTGCACCGTCTATGTGTATTGTTTGTATACCTGCACCGCCTATGTATATTGTTTGTATACCTGCACCGCCTATGTGTATTGTTTGTATACCTGCACCGCCTATGTGTATTGTTTGTATACCTGCACCGTCTATGTATATAGTTTGTATACCAACCATTTGTCTACGATAAATCAGTCATTACAGTACGATATGTCACGTTAATTCTATCATCAACTCATTAGTCTATCTCTATTAACCTGTACCCCTAATAGCAACATTTTCATTACTGCATTACTCAGGTATCTTTAAATGTTTAGTCATAACTCATAAATGTCAGCAAATGTGGACAATAAAATGTTTACTATCAAGCAGACGCTGGCAGTCACGTTGGTCCAGTCCTTCACCTCGCCACAACAAACACCCGGAGCAATAACTCAGCTCAATAAGAACAGAAAATAATTAAACTCACCTGACATCTTGTTACGACGCGTTTATAACTCAAATCTGGTTAAAATTCATTGACATCCATTCATGCAATCGTGTTTACAATTCCCAGACGCACAGACGGACAGACAGACAGTCTCATGAAAGCATACATTCCTAAATCGTCCCTCCAGGTCTTAGGGGGTAATTATTGGATAACTACCCACGGTTCTGGGGTCTATTGGTGATCCCATCCTCAAAGGTTAAATGTCAGGGTTCAGTTGTAAGGAATAATGAACTGAGCTAAAGAATATATAAAGATGGGTGGTGATGACCGTAGAGCTTATTATTATTATTATTATTATTATTATTATTATTATTATTATTATTACCTGTATTATTATTATTACCTGTATTATTATTATTATTATTATTATTATTAATATTATTATTATTATTATTATTATTATTATTATTTAACATGAATACATTACTGATATCGTCAACATCTGGTTAATGACTTACAGACTCTCCTTCTTTCACTATATTCGACTTCATTATCATCAAGTAAAGCACAGCGGCCATAGTGTCATTGACGGAGCTGTAATACTGGGGCCTTCCTGGGTTAAAGTTGAGTCAATGCTTTGGAAATCATCCTCTCGGCTCCAGCTTCTCCCTCTCGGCACTAGCCCCTCCCTCTCGGCCCCAACTCCTCCCTCTCGGCACTAGCCCCTCCCTCTCGGCCCCAACTCCTCCCTCTCGGCACTAGCCCCTCCCTCTCGGCCCCACCTCCTCCCTCTCGGCACTAGCCCCTCCCTCTCGGCCCCAATCCCTCCCACTCATCGTCCCCTCGCTCGATTTCACTGGGCATCGTCGGTGTGTGTTTGTTGATGTTTTGTATGTGGGTGAACCTCAAAATCAGTTACTGTACGTTTTGTTAAATTTAGTTTAGTTTAGGGTAGTTTCTTTGGTTAGGTTAGCTTAGCTTAGCTTAAGGTGGGTTAGTTTGGTTTGAGGTGAGTTGGTTTGGATTGGATTAAGTTTGGTTAGGTTAGGATTTGTTGGATTAGTTAAAGTTAGGCTAGGAAAAAAAGTTGATAGGTTAGGCATGGTCAGGCTTTGCTAAGGGACTGTTATGATAGCTTAGGTTAGGTTAGGTTTGGTGTAGGTAATGTTATAAAAGATTAAGTTTGGTTAAATTCGATTAGGGTAATGCTATGATAGGTTACAGTAGGTTCGTTAGGTTAGTGTTATCATAAGGTGAGGCTAGGTTAGGGTAATGCTATGATAGGTTACAGTAGGTTCGTTAGGTTAGTGTAATCATAAGTTAGGTGAGGCTAGGTTAGGGTAATGCTATGATAGGTTACAGTAGGTTCGTTAGGTTAGTGTAATCATAAGTTAGGTGAGGTTAGGTTAGGGTAATGCTATGATAGGTTACAGTAGGTTCATTAGGTTAGTGTAATCATAAGTTAGGTGAGGTTAGGTTAAGGTAATGCTATGATAGGTTAGGTTCGTCTGGTTACTGTAATTATATGTTAGGTGAGGTACCGTGTGGTCCCAGCAAGAGGAAGACGACGTCAACGTGGCCCTACCTCCGTCTACTGTATACTGTAAGACGAAGTGGGGTTCTCTACTACCTGAAGGTCACTCTTTATCAACACGACCTCCTCACCCCACGAACTCCTCACCCCATGACTTCCTCACCCCACGACCTCCTCAACCCATGACTTCCTCACCCCACAACCTCCTCACCCCACAACCTCCTTACCCCACGACCTCTTCACCCGACCTCTTCACCCCACGACCTCCTCACCCCACAACCTCCTCACCCCACAACCTCTTCACCCGACCTCCTCACCCAACGACCTCCTCACCTTCTCACCCAACGACCTCCTCACCCACAATCTCCCCCCCTCCTTACCCCACAACCTCCTCACCCACGACCTCCTCAACCCGACCTCCTCACCCCACCTCCTCGACCTCCTTCACCCTCTTCACCACGACCTCCTCACACGACCTCAACCCGACCTCCTTACCCCACAACCTCCTCACCTCACACCTCTTCACCACGACCTCCTCAACCTCTTCACCACACGACCTCCTCACCCCACCTCCTTACCCCACGACCTCCTCACCCCACAACCTCCTTACCCCACGACCTCCTCACCTCCCACCTCCTTCACCTCCTCACCCCGGCCTCCTTCACACGACCTCCTCACCTCACAACCTCTTCACCACGACCTCCTCACCACACGACCTCCTCACCCACACCTCCTTACCCCTCCTCAACCCACGACCTCCTCCTCACCTCACAACCTCTTCACCACCTCCTTCGACCTCCTCACCTCACAACCTCTTCACCACGACCTCCTCACCCACCTCCTCACCCCGACCTCCTCAACCCGACCTCCTCACCCAACGACCTCCTCACCAGACGACCTCCTCACCACACCTCCTTACCCCACAACCTCCTTACCCTCCTACAACCTCTTTCCTCACCACACGACCTCACAGCTGAGACAAACACACACTTCAAACTGGCGTCGTGTGGCGGTTTGAATAATTCACCTAGTTAAGCCAGTACCTTAACTAAATATAACTCGACACACACTCACACACACACACACACACACACACACACACACAGACACACACACACACACACACACACAACGTTGCCACTTATCCTCCTCCTCCTCCCCCAAAAACACAAAAATATCACTCCCTTCCGCCTCGACCAGGCCCTATACACTGTGCCCGATAAACTTGTCACCATTGAGCTGTCATAAAGACCCCCTTCCTCCCTTCCTCCCCCCCCCTATCCAGTCTATCGTAATTTCGTGCAGCATATTGATTAACGATTTGGGGGGGGGGGATGATAGCAATGACCCAGTTTCGGTCCATCTGATGCGTCATGGTATATGTGTGGACACCGTTGTCCCTCATCTACAAATTCATCAACTCAACACCGAATTCCCTTTCATTCAATATTTTTTTTTTATATTTGACGTCAATAATTTCCTTACATACTAATATTAATGTGTAAGAGACTAATTGTTTTATGAATAAGTAAAGGGAATACCAAGAGACATAACCATGAGATTATAAAAGAAAACGTAGTACTGTTATCTTTTTTCAGGGTTACTACTTGAATGTTTAAATAATTACGTTAATATCTCTAGTTAAATTAGCAACGTTTCTCCCTCAATGTCGTTCTAGAATTGTTTATTAGTCCTAATGGAAAGCACCACTGTAATTAAGTAAGTATTAAACATTTCTGGTAGCGTTAGTATTATTAAATTATTCTGTAAGGACGAGGCGTCACTCAACGAAATGTCTGGAATAATATTGCCACGACTTAGGTACGATGGTAAGCCTTCCATTACCACACGTTTGAATATTTTACGCCTATCAGTCTAGGTCTTTGAAAATAATCTTCACCTTGCCTATCAAAAGGTTACTCTTCACTCTATCCAAAAACTAATCTTTATCAGAGTGTCTTTATCAAAATACTGACCTTAGCTGTCTTTACGAAAATACCAGTCTTTACTCAGTCAGAACAGTCTCTCCTCTAATAATACAATTTTTCATCCTCTATCAAATTAATGACGAATATTTTTCGTTCAAGAGAAGGTGTCCAACTGCAACACCGCACGACCTCCTCACAATGTCCGATCAATATAGCCAACGTGGCAACCCTCTCAATATCGGGACTTTTAAACCACACAACGAGAGTGTCACGTCACTGTACTCAGCATGAAGGTCACTGGAGGGTTGAAGCAACGTGAGGTACTCACCAGTAGTAGCTGAGAGACTGTGGAAGGGCGGGAGAAGTCAGTATAAAGGACGGATGAGTGCAGGTCGTTGTTCAGTTGCGGGGTGGAGACTCTCGCCCGCTCAGCTGACTACGGCCAGGAATGGAATGCCACTCAACCGTGTCCGAATCCTTCGACCAAAACAAACAGTCATTAACCCCAAATACGCAACAACAACAAAAATAAACTCCTAATATAATACCAATACACTAACATCTATGTACATCATATACGCACTAATATCCATAAACTTTATACTCGTGTCAAACAAAGCGTATATAAACATACATACGTAGGTGAGGGGAAGGTGTTCGGAGACAGAGGTTACTTGCATGCGCAGTCTGGAGTCAGCTGGGTTTATAAAGGTTGGTCCAGCTGGGATTTTGTGTCTCTCCCTGGCAAGGTCGCTCTGTAGGACAATCATTAATATTATAGCCAGCTGGTGGTGGTGGTGGTGATGGTGATGGTGTGTGTGCGTGTGTGTGTTTGTGTGTGTGTGCACATTCGTTTATGTATGAATATTTGCTTTTGTGTGCGTACAATCTCCGTAAACTCTTGTATACGTATGTGTATATATGTATTTATGTTTTTGTATGCTTTGTATGCTCGCGCGCCCGTGTGTGTGTGTGTGTGTGTGTGTGTGTGTGTGTGTGTGTGTTTGCTCGTGTATATTTGAGTATAAAAACACACATACAGTGTATGGAAGACCGTAAACACGTTTTCTTTAGAGTGTAACGTCGATACTTTCAAAGAAACCCGACCCCAGTAAAGTTTATAAATCAGTTGCGAAAATAAATGGCAATCGATACAATATGACCATTGTTCAACGATATTTATTTATTTCCTGACCTTTGCGATATTACAAATTTAAAAGACTTCTTTCTACACTTGACTTATCTTTTCCCTCACCCAACCTCCACAACTTTACTTCCAATCATTTATATTATCTTCCTCCTTTTACCAATCACCATCTAATCACTATATCTTCACAATATCAAAATAATCTATCCAGATAATCTTAACAATACACAAAACACTACATATATTTAACGACTATATCGTATCTGTAAAGCTTCTTTGCCTTACTTTGAGTTGGTGGACGCTCGCCTCACAAGGGGTCACAGCTCAAGATTGAAGAAGCCGCAAGTCCAGAAAACTGTGAAGGCAAACTTTTTCGGAGTGAGAGTTATGAACTCTTGGAACAATCTACCAGAAAGTGTTGTGACGGCACCTAGTGTAAGCTCTTTCAAGACAAGACTTGACCAACATTGGAGCAATGAGCCGATCAGTGGTGAAGAGGATAAAAGTAAATACATTCAACTCGTCCTAAAAAACCAAAATAAACATTGCTACTCATTTTGACACCAAACTGCTGCTAATTTTTTTCTTGGAAAATGTATAATCTGGTGCTCATGAGGGTATGAATTAATAACGTCAGTGAAGAACAAGACAGCCCCTTAAGATCACCTCTTGGGATGGATAATACATGTGTAGCTAAGCTATCCATCTACACTATAGAAAATGACTACATATTAAGATAAAAAAAATGTAATTTTATTTTATGAGTAACTAAACTAAATATAATGTCCCTAATGACTACATTTACTAACCATAACACTAATCTTTCCTTACCTAACTGATGGATGTTTTTGCTAGTAAGGAGGGACGGCCATCAGGGAGGTGGTCATTGTATAGTCAACATGTAAATCAGAGAACGAAAACAATCAGAGGTTCGTAAATTATTTCTCGTAATTGATGCTGTAAAGAAACACCTCATACACATACAGATACACATACAAATATACTAACAAACAAAGACATAAATAAACAGACAAGTATCAAAACATTCCTAAAAATTTCTAGGCAGAGAGACTGACAGAGACAAACACACACACACATACACACTGGAACGTCCCCTTGTTTCTAGACAGACAGACAGACAGACATATACGCACACTTATACAAACAAACAAACACACACACACACACACACACACACGAAACCAAACAGAAATATACACCTACAAGCTTCCACAACGCTAGCATTATCTCGTATCGCTATAATGTATGTGTCATGGGTTGCGTTAGGCTTACCCACGCAACCAACTCCAAAGTTTGTTTTACCAGAGATAAGACGCCCGGCGAGGCATAACTGGGACATGTATTTTTCAATTAGTGTATGTTAGCCAGCCTTTAGGGGGGTGGGCAGTGGAACAGTGTTGTACTGTTCATCGCTTCACACCCAAAAACCTCATTTTAAGTAGTATCCCCTGAGCCATGGGTTAGTTAAGACGTCGTCTCCATCCTCTCCCTCCTGAAAGGGGGCGGGACACCACACCACACAGAGTCCTCCACCGCCACTCCGTCCTGTGAACCGTCGTCGACACGAGACTAAGTGTGTTAACCTAGCTTGTTATCCCCGTGGAAATATCACGTGTGGATGCCTGGTTGCGACAAGAGCAATCCAGGCTGGCCTATTAAACCTACAGTAAATGGTTAATTAATTCACGCTTACAGAGTTCTCCTGCACGACACCCGTCTACAGTGACTGTGATCGACACGAGACTAAGTGTGTTAACCTAGGTTTGTTATCCCCGTGGAAATATCACGTGTGGAAGCCTGGTTGCGACAAAAGCAATCCAGGCTGGTCTATTGCACCTAAATGGTTAATTCAAGTCACGCTTACCAGTTCTCCTTGCCGCGACAACCGTCTACCGTGACTGTCAGTGACGCGAGACTATGTGTGGTACACCAAGAGTACCTTTTGTTGTTATGGCCGTGGAAGGTCGACACGAGACTAAGTGTGTTAACCTAGGTTGTTATCCCCGTGGAAATATCACGTGTGGAAGCCTGGTTGCGACAAGAGCAATCCAGGCTGGCAGTAAATGTATCACTTGAAGAATTAAGGCTCTGTTAAGTTATACCCATAGTAGAGTAATCACATGTGTCCCCAAGTTAAAATTCTCTTTTAAAAGATTAATTTTATTACAACGTGAACGTGAGTGAATCATATATCCATGCAAATTGTAAATCATTGTATGGAAGCTTGACAAATAAATGTAAGTGCAATTATCTGCCCGTATCTGTGATCCTATCTTATTATTACTAAAGGTAATGACTGATTGGTTATGACAAAGTATAACCAGTAACTTAGATGGATGTTGAAAATTAAATGAATTCATTAAATCATCATTTATCAAGTATAAATCATGGAATGTCGAGTGGTGGAGTGAACTTCTACGTAGATACGCCATAATTGTTTCTGTATTCCGCTCAGTTTTTATTTCCTTATTTATTTCGCACTTCAGATTATTCCTGACATAGATGGCTACTCCGCCTCCTTTCCTGGACTGCCTATCAGCATGGAACAATTTGTAATCCACAATTTGGTATTCGACAGGTAACTCACGTGAGTCTAAGGTCATGAAAGTAAGACGCACAGCGATAAGACAACAAGATATTTCAAAGAACAATGGAAGAAAAAAATAATACAGTTTATCGATTGAAAGCTGTCGAGTTACTACGCATCTGTGGTTTCCAAGATACGTAGTGTGGTAAACGCGGACCTAATCACCCCATTATTAAAAACAAAAAAAACCAAGATAAAGATATATATCACTTACTCGGCTACGCAGAAAGGCTACTGTTTATTACGTGGAAGAGGTTGTGTTGAAGGGGCATTGTCACTCATGTTGAAGGGGTACTGTCACTCATGTTGACGGGGTACTGTTACTCATGTTGAAGGGGTACTGTTACTCATGTTGAAGGGGTACTGTTACTCATGTTGAAGGGGTATTGTTACTCATGTTGAAGGGGTACTGTTACTCATGTTGAGGGGGTACTGTTACTCATGTTGAAGGGGTACTGTTACTCTCGTTGAAGTGGTACTGTTACTCATATTGAAGCGGTACTGTTACTCACGTTGAAGGGCCACTTTTACTCACATTGAAGGGGCACTGTTACTCACGTTGAAGGGGTACTATTACTCACTTTGAAATGCCACTGTTACTCACATTGAAGGGCCACTTTTACTCACATTGAAGGGGCACTGTTACTCATATTAAAGGGGCACTGTTACTCTCGTTGAAGGGCCACTGTTACTCACGTTGAAAGGGTACTGTTGAAGGAGTGACGAGAGCAGAGTTAACAGGTAGGGGAGGTCACCATAACACCTGACAAGAAGAAGATATGAGGTTCGTATTTGGTTTAATAATAATAATAATAATAATAATAATAATAATAATAATAATAATAATAACAATAATAATAATAATAATAATAATAATATACTACATACATTTACCTACCCTAAACTCCAATCCAGGGGTCCATAAAGGTTAAGATCAGAAGGTCAGAACTACGATAAAAATGCCAGTTAACATGAGCTAACTAACGCTTGGCAACACATGATCTAAACCTCATTAATCCATGTTATGATCTGGAATCTATGTATATAATAACATGTTGCAATTCAGTGTGTAAATATTCCCCCAGGGGATTATTATATTATGTCTAGGTATCGTTACTGTGGGGAAATAGGGATAGTAAACACTTGTAAGAGGTAGGTGGGGTAGCTGTACGTATACCTACCATAGTAGATAGGTAGGTAGTAGGCAGCTACCAAACAGGGAGGTACTACAGCCTGGGAAGGTATTGGAAGCATAATGTGTTGTCTAATGGTAGACCCTGCTGCCATATGGCATCACGAAAATTTTTACAAAGTCCCAGGTTGGTGATCTGACTTTCTGCCTCATTTACACACAATTGCAGGGTCTCAATTGTTTCTCTTACTATTGAGAACACAACATACATATATTGATTCTCACTTTTGATCTATTTTTTGTATATCTTTATTATTATTATTATTATTATTATTATTATTATTATTATTATTATTATTATTATTATTATTATAATATTTTCGCCCCCCAGGCCCCGATGTGGGTCAGTGACCTGTGCCCTAGTGGCCTAAGGCCCGTAAAAAAAAAAAGGACAAAAGATAAGGTATTGGAAGAAATCACTCCATCTACCAGCTTCATTTTATCTCAAGTGGTTTAAGTTTAAATAATATCGCATCTGAAATCTGATGACTAGACCCTAAGTTACCTAGTGCGTGTACTGTAGGCGCTTATTTAGACTATTACATGGTATTCATATGAAGGTATATTATATCAATAGACTGTCATATGTTTCAATGTACTACTATTCATATTAGCTTAAATAATCATTTGATCATATACGTTGATTGTAGGTATTTAATTAGGTTGTCATATGAGGATAATGTGTGAAAAAGAATAAATTATAAAGTTGCTTGTATTTTCTCAAGTAACTATTAATATATTAGTTTATATTTCTTTAATTGATCGCTCAAATACACACCAAATTTACTTAAACAAGTGATTCAAATGTTGCTTACATTTCCCAAAACAATTACACAAATATTGTTTTTCTTTACTTAACCAATTAGACAGTAATTTTTTTATTCACTTACAGAGGTGACTGTGGTCGCCAACCCTCAGATGTGAGGAAAGAGGCTCTCAAAAATTACACTTATTCACTTACCGTAATAAAACCATCGAGGATTAACGACATTTAATCAAAACAAACCAAACTTACATACGCCTTTGGAAGCTAAGTCAAACGAACTTGCGCTCCACTTTCCTCCCGGCTGACGTTCACTCACCTCCGACAAAATTAAACATATAATTTCAAAATACTGGTTCGGTTTCTCAATAGTTCACGCATTCAACCCCTAAAATGGAGCTAAAAAACGTATCTCCTTGTCTCATATACACAACGTCGCTAAAAAAAACGGCGTTCATGGGGTTGAAAGGCGCAGAGAATCTACTGATATCAGAAATCTTTATCTATTACCTGTAATTACCTAAAGAGACAAGTTCAAGGAACTGTGAGATGACGGAGCAAATAACTGGCTTCGTGATTTCTCTTAAGTGAGGGACACGTGTTGATATCAGGGAACGAAATTTTATCTCTGTTGGAGAGAGAGAGAGAGAGAGAGAGAGAGAGAGAGAGAGAGAGAGAGAGTGTGTGTGTGTGTGTGTGCCTGTGTGTGTGTGTGTGTGTGCAAAGACTTAAGAACAAGACCAAGACTTAAGAACAAGATCAAGACCCAAGAACAAGAACAAAACCCAAGAACAAGACCAAGACATAAGAACAAGCCCAAATGATGTGCTGGTAATAGAGCAGACGAGGGCGGGTCTGAGTGTGTGAGAAGGGAGACAGGTGGCGTTGGACCGGGGAGGCGGGGAGAGAGAAGTCCTATTTTTACTGCTACTACAACTACTATTTTTTTTTCGAATACGTGGCCTCCATCCTCCCCTAGTAGCCATACCTTCCCCACCATTTTATTACCTTAAAATTAAATATCCTAAAACATAAGTAATTACTGTACCCTGTCTGTGTTGAGTTAGTTGAGCCGCAGATCGATGCGACCGTTGTCGATTTGGGACCGAAGATCTCGTTCCCCTGAGGCAGAGCAATGCAGACCTAAGCAGAGAGAAGGACAGTCGACATCTCAACCAGGCTGTAACGTAACTTCTGGGCTGCTACTTCCGTTCAGATAACACCTCCGCGAGTCTGGCGTAGAAACATCTTGCACCTGGTCCCATCCCACCATATGCCCTGATCTTTTAATTCTCGTTCCTCCTGTGTGCAGCGTCGAGTGCTAGGTTATGGTTACATGCGGCCATTGGATCGAAAATCCTCATGTCAAAGAAGGCTCGCTGTCCCTGCATCCAGAATCCTGAGGCACTGACGTCCACCCTGGATTTGTTGGATGTGTTTGAAGCCTTCGACAGAATTCTCACCACGGCATGGCCGATGTCGTAGGATGAGCCACACACGCATTGGGAGGGCAAACCTTCTACTGGCCTACCGTACTCTTTTTTTATTAACTAATTCTCTTTTCTTCTGTGTTCATTATAGATCGACCCAGAGAGGGCTAGTTTATTGGGCACCCCCTTATATCCTGTGCAAGGTGAAGCGCAGAAGCGTTTACAGTGCCCATCTGGGAAGCATGCGGAGTTCATGCTTGCCTTTATGACTCATGCATTAAGGGCGTAAAAGCCTGAAGGGTCCTGGGTTTTGTCAGCAAGTTACATAAAGTGACAGAATGATGAGTGTGTGGGGGGAGAATTCCCGGTAATATTTATCTGTTTATGGCAAAGCGTGGCAGGTCCCTAATAATGTCAAGTGCCAGGCCATAGGCAGTGACAATTTTGAGGGGACATACCTTTTAGTATGATTGTGATGGCGTGTACGTCGGTAATGTCGTCTTCAAGAGGGACGCCGAGAGGTTGGTAGGGGACGACGTCCTTGGCGTAGATACGTAGTCCACTAGCATGTCCGCAGGGTGGTCAATTGATGTGGAGAACTGGAGTGGATGGGCCCCAGGTGCCGGCATGCCTGTGGGGGAACAGAGAAAGAGTAAAAATAAGTAAATAAACAGAAATAAATAGAAAATTAAGAGGAAATAAACGAAAGGTATCATACACACTTTATTATAAGAAGGGATTACTTACTTCTCTATAAAACACTTCTCACACACATATACGATGAGATCCTTATTTCCGCCATTTTAACTGTTAAGGTCTATCTCATGTCCCGTAGATAACACAGTGGAGAGTTTATAAGGCGGTAGCCGAGGGGTAATGGCTCTCAGTAGAAGGCGGCGACGAAGGGCAGAGACTGGTAAGGTTCTTGAGTTCTGTTACACACACACACACACACACATACATACATACAAGCATTAACTGGTATGGTTCTTTTTTTTGACACAAAGGAAACGTTACATATACTTCTTGGGTTCTATTCGATGCAAAAAAAAAATACTCTAAAGATTCTGGAATTCTACAAGACACAGGAAACTCTTTGTAAGGTTCTGCAGTTCTGATACACAAGAACTGATTCAAAAGTTTCTGTACGTCTCCTGAAACGACTGGTAAGGTCTTGTTAGATTGACCAAGTTAGAGGCAATAGAACTTTGAAATAAGTTCTAATATATTTTACAATGAATATGACTTTTGTTAGGTTTTTATACTATGTTACTGACAATTGAACTTTTATTTAGGTTCTGGCCAGATGTTAGGGACAACTTCTACTAAGGTTTTGGCATTGGGCGTTTCTAGCAAGCTTCTCTTAGCTACAATAGAACGTGTAGAAAGGTTCTATTGGTGACAAAGAAAACTAAAATACTATAAATTTTTGGGTTCAGTCAGAGGCAGTAGAACTTCGAGTACGGTTTTATGATTTTATCAGAAACTAGAATTACCAGTAAGGTTCTGGATTCTGTAGGAAATACTAAAACATCTAGTAAAGTTCTGAGTCCCTGAGAGAATCTACAACTATCAACATGGTTCTGGTCCTCTGTAAGCGATACCAGAATTAGTTCTGATATTCCGGGGTTCTGTAAGAGGCATTAGACTGACTAGTAAAGTCCTGAGGTTGTACAGGAAACTTCAGAATCAGTACTTTGAGTTCTAAGGTTCTGTAATAGGTAATCAAATGACTAATGCAGTTTCAGGGTTCTTTTAGAAACCCCTAATTAGGTTTTGTGGTTTTATGTAATACCTGAACCACTATTAAGATTCTGAGGTTCTATTAGAAACTAGAACTACAAGTATAGTTCTGGTGGTCAGTTCTTGGTTGTCATTAATGACTTTTAAAACCAGGAAACAAAAGTGATACAGTACGTGTGTGTCTCCTATACAGGTAGTCTATGCATGTATATGTATTTGCGTATGTGCAGTGTATCTGTGTATAATGTGTACTCACCTCCATATATGCATCTGTGTGTGCTTGTATTGCATAATGTAAGTGTATGTGTATCGTACGTTTGAGTTTGCATGATCACTGCCTGTATGTGTGTAAATGCACTGCATGTGCATGTGTACAAGTATATGCACTGTGAGCAACTGTAATACATTTTGGGTATATGTGCATGGTATGCGTGTGTCTAAGTGTACATGCATTGCTTAAGTGTTTAGGTAAATTGCATGTACTGTACAGTAGTACATATGAGTTTATATCCTTCGTGTGTGTGTGTGTGCGTATTTTGCAGGTATGTGTAGCTGTTTTTGAGTATGTATACAAGCATATATACATGTATGTACTGTATGAGTGCAGTAAATTACACAGGCATCAGAGCCATGCATTAATATCAAGTGTTTCCTTGAAGATAATCGTATTGATAAGCGAAACATTTCCTCTCCCCATTGTGTAATGATAAGGATGGACGTGAACTACTGATGAGATTGAATCACGTGCTCAGGAACTGGTACGGCCGAAATTCATAAGAATGGAGGAACTGCAGCTTGCCTATTGGCCCATAATGAGCAGTCCCATTTACACCCAACCCCTATTGCTCATATATCCATCCAACTTAAGTTTTAAGCTATCGAGCGTATTCGCGTTAATGATGAGGTTTGGTAACTTGTTCCACTCGTCCACTACTCTATTTCCAAACAAATGCTTACCAATTTCGCGCCTAAATCTAAATTTGTCTAATTTAAAACCAATGTTACGAGTTCGCTTGTAATGTCACCATTGTTTATCCCTGACTTCCATTTATACATCTTTATCATATCGCCCCTCACTCCACGTCTCTCGAGGGAGTACAGATTAAGATGCTTTAACATGTCTCTGTACTCAAGGTTCCTAATGCCCGGGATTAGTCTTGTCATTCTCTGAATTTTTTCTATGGATTCTATATCCATTATGTAATACGGTGACCAAATCTGAACTGCGTAATCCAAGTGAAGTCCCACAAGCGCAAGATTTAGTTTAGGATGACCTCGCACGTCTTGTAACTAACACTCCTTTGTATGAACCCAAGTACTTTATTAGCCTTGTTTCGAGCAAATACACATTGTTTACTTGGATTAAGATTCTTACTTAATATTACTCCTTAGTCTTTCTCACAGACAGATTTCTCTATAACATCGTTGTTTAACTGGTATCTGGTTTCTCTGTTTACATCTCCTTGACTAAGTACTTTACATTTGTCCACATTGAATTTCATCTGCCATTTTTCAGACCATTCGAAAAATTTGTTTAGATATTCCTGTAGTTTTGCGGAGTCCTCGTCAGATTTAATTGTATAATACGGACACGAAGTAGTACCTTAAGCTGTGTATTCTTATATGACTATTAATTATGTATAGTAAAGTATTACAAGACATGTGTTAATCCTATGTAATGTTTCCATTTATTATGCACCATGTTACGTATATGTATTATCATATTTACATATTATGTATTCAGCTTGTGAACGCTGGCATCTGTGCATGCCAGCGCGGAGTGATACAGAGAGTGGAGGTCGCTAGTCCTTATGGCGTGGAAGTCACATAGTCTATTTGTTCCTATATATTTGTCTCCCGTACGAGAATAAGAACCTATTTTCAAGATAACAAGTGTTTGCGTATACCCTCAGTAGTGTAGAACATTTTGGGGGTATCAAAGACAGACATAGATGGCGCGGTGAGATTTCTCAGCGAGATACAGAGTGAATTTTGCCTTCCCGCCGGACTGTGTTGTTAATGGCGTCTCGTCTTCAGCTTCGCCAAGGATTTACAGCAAGACTACAAGCCTCGGGACTTACAGTGTTGTGAAGTGCTATGCTGTGTTAAGTGCTGTGCTGTGAAGTGAAGTGTTCTGTGAAGTGCTGTGTTGTGTATTTTAATCAGATTTGTCTGTGCAAACTGCAGTCAGATGACTGAGGGAGCTGCCCAGCAGTACATCCCCTCCTGCCCATGGTCATTGTGTGACTGAGCAGCGAGCAGTAAGACAACTTCATTTCAGTTGCGACTTGCGCCGAGCTGCCTCTACGTCTGGCAGCGCGCCAAGCCTCCCGGCAGCGAGCCATACACACACATGCACTCACAAGCCCACTTTATATTAAATTTTTGTGTATTACTTTAAACTTCTGTAATTCTGTGCATAGATTACGAGGGGTTGACCCGGTTTCTTGCACAGACAGAGTACAGAAGCTGTCAGCATGTCTCACAGGGATAAAAATGATACCCTGGACGATGGGGTTATGAGTTTAAGTTTGGGAGATCTCTCCCCACCCACACTAAAGCCCCAAGCTCCCCACATTGGCAACGCCCAATCCCCGACAGAATCTCCTCGTTCGTCGCGAGCAAGCTCTCCTGCGGTGCCTGCATCCAAGGATCTCCTTCAACTGATTAAGTGGATGGAAACTTCTCGACGCCAGGACTATGTTGCAAGGAGAGAAGAGGAAGAAATTCGGTACAGAGAGTCTGAAAGACTACGCCACGAAGATGAACAAAGACTCAGAGAACTAGAAAATATACGTAGAAGTGAGGATGACCTGAGAAGAAGAGAGGATCAAGCCAGATTTGAAGCCTTGATTTCCCTGTTAGCCTCCCCACAACGATCTACTGTACAAGATTCTTCTGCTACTACTAATGCTGATACGACTAGACGTACTGGTACCTCACCTCCCAGAGTCGGTTCAACAATTCCTCAAAAGACTGCAACACAAACGCCTCCCTCTCTGAAGTCTGACGCTTCTTATCAGATATTTCGGGAATGGCGTCGACGTTGGCAAGACTATGCAACAATGGTTGACCTGTCAAGTTTACCACAGCCTAAACAGATGATACAGCTTCGTATATGCCTGTCCTTAGAGACAACGTACTCTCGAGCACACACACTTCAAGTGCCTCCTACGACAACTCTGACTGTAGAGGCCGTGCTTGACAAGTTACAGGAACATGTTAAGGGACAGCGCAACGAAGCACTTAGAAGAAGAGAACTCCTCCAACGTAAGCAGCTTGATGGAGAATCTTTTGATGTATTTTTTGTAAGACTGAAAAGATGTTCAGAGGAAGTTGATGTTTGTCCTGGAAATTCTCAAGTTTGTAAAGAGAACAACTCAAGACAATTATTTTAACGGGTATTCGAGATGAAGAGCTAGTTCAGCGTCTCATTTCACTTGACCCCACATCCTCCCTTCAAGATGTTACAAAATGTCGAGCGTACGAGGCCGCCAGGTGTGCGACTTCAGCTTTGCGTTCACAACCTGACCAGGTGAGGGCGGTGTCTATCCTACAGAAAGGGTAAGAAGCAGCAAGGTAACCCCACCCCTCACCCTCCAGCTACACCTTCAGCAGCAGCTTTGTGTAACAGCTGCGCGAGACAGCATGATGCCTCCCAGTGCCCAGCTGCTCAAAGCGTGTGCAGAAGTTGCGACCGTCAGGGTCACTGGGCTTAAACAGTCAAGTGCCCCGCTAGCAAAGTTCAGTGCAGACTTTGTGGTCGTGTGGGCCATTATGACAAATGTTGTCGTAAGAAGACACAGAAAGGACACCACCAAGGATCCAAGAGGTCATCCTCAGGTAGTGCTGGCGCGCCCCCTCCTTCTGGCAAGCATCAAGACGCTGTGTCCAGTAGTTCCTGCCGTCGTGTACATTGTTCCACAGACACGAAGCCCCAGCACATCAGCGTCGTCATTTCTCACGGTAACTTGTCATCCAGTCTTCAGATGTTACCTGACACCGGTGCTGACGTCTCAGTAATTGGTCCACAACACTTAGCAAGTTTGGGAATACCCCGGAGCAACCTACAGCCCCCTCCTCAGACAACGAAACTGACAGCTGATGGTTCCAAGATGGCTCCAGCTTTGGGATCTTTCTGGGCTACTCTTACCTTTGGTAAGCAGTCTAGCT